TTTCTGATTTGCATATGCTGAAGCCACACATATTGTCTGGGTCCTGGCAAGGACAAGCAGCACTTAGGTCATTCACTCCCAACTGCTTGCCCATAGTGTGTAAAAATCAGAGCTTTATCTTGTGAGGTCCACTAACACAAAACGCTGTGGTTTTTTTTTTTCCTTTCTCCCCTCATCTCTTATTTTTAGCCTTAGCAATTGTTACTGCTTGCCTAATTGTCCTGTCAGGGTGAGTGGAGGTGAATTTTCCACCTGTGTCCTCTGTGTGATTTCCTGTGTCTGTGAGGACTGGGGTGCAGAGGTGACAGAGCACTCCGCTGGGCAGCCCTCGCTGGGCACCTTTCAGTTAGAAAAGCTCACAGAACTGATACCAGGAAAAGGATTAATGGGTTCATTTGTGGTGTTATTCCAAACTCATCATCCACCTCTATTAATATTCCAGTCAACCAAATCAAAGCTGTTTAACAGCCCATGTGACCAGCATTTCCTGTTCCTACAGAAAGAAAGCCTCAGCCAGGAGGAATGTGGCATCTGAAAGATATTTTCACAGCATCTGTCAGTGCTGAAAATGGCCAGACCAGTAGGACTGGAGAGGCAAAATCCTCTGGTGTGAATTTACTCTCTCACCAGTCTTATCTTTTCTGTAATCTAAACCCACAATTGCTAAGGCCAAGTTAATTCAGATCTCAAAAACCCTGCACTCAGACACCGTAGAGAATGACTGAGTGTAGTGGTAAGAAACTCTGACTTTAGGCTTTTGGCTGAGACCCTCCTCTTTCCTTTGCCATTAACTCTTGACAGCCTCCTAGGACTGTTGCTTTCAGTCACTGGTTACCTGAGGTTGCCCTAGGACGGGTTATGTGAGAGGAAGACTCCACCTGTCCTGCCCAAGCCCCAGGTTTTGAATGAATAGACTGAGGAAACCAGTAAGGTGGTGCTGATCTGAAATATTCTTTTTTTTTCTTTTTATTTCCTCTCGCAGCTGCAAAGGCTGGAAAAAGGTGACATTCAAGGCAGCGACGGGGAAAGTAGCACACTCCAGAAGGCAGATATAGTCATCTTCACTCCAGGGTTCTTGAACCGTCCAAGTTCACCATGCCCAAGGGTCTTCAGTCCTTTTCCATAAGTTGTGAATAAGCAGGTTTGTCAGTAGGAGCAACATGATTATAAGATGTGGGAGACTGTAGTTACACCATACCCAACAGGCAGAAGTCCTCCAGGCCATCTGCGGTCTGTGCTGCCCTCACTGGAGCACAGTACGTGAAATCACTTTCTCAGGCTGCAGGACTCGATTACAAAGTCTGCTCTGAGAATGTGCCCAGAAACAAATACAAAATTTGCCAAATAGGAAGTAGTTTTAATTTGCTTTGGATAACTCCAACCCCAGGAGGCTTTGGAGTGGCAGGAAAATCCATTCTAAGGCACTCTTAGATCCTCTGTCCAATCTGAGGAGCTTGTCCTAGTAGGAACAGCTGTAAGAAAAAGGGAAGAGCATGACCTGTTGATTCAGCTGATTTCATGGTAGAAAAACCTGTACTTGTGCTGTTGTCTGATACGTACTTTTGCCACCCATGAATGGACAGAGGCACGACTTCAAGCCCTGATGTAAAATCCTGGTGGACTGGTTAAACAACAGTGAGCCAGAAAAGGCAGGAGAGGATCGAATCCCGTGGAGTGTAAGGCTGGCTTAAAGCAGACCCGATAGATGGAAAGGATCTGCGTTTCCTTCCCAGTGATGGGGGATGGAACACTGCTCAGGCCCTGTAATGCTCTTTTTCTGTTTGCTTCAGCCAGTGACACAAAGATTAGTGTCCTTTTGTTTAGGCTTTTAGGGACAATATTTCTCCCCCTTTTAAAACCCTCCTCGCTTGCAAATTCTACATCAGCTGAGAGAATAAAGCTGAACACTAGGTCAGTTGTGTTACCGAGTTGGCTTTTTCCCCACAGCATGGCTAATTTACATCCTATAAGTGCTCAGCCCCAGGGGCTTCTGTAACTCCCTCCAGGCTGGTGACCACATCAGTAAGCTGAGAAACACGGACTTTACAGGATAGGTCTTTGCTAGCTACCTCAATGACATAGTTATTTTCTGATAGCTGTTATCTCTCTGCTTTGCATCGTCCCACAAAAATAGTCCCCAAGCAGTGACGGGGAAGGTATCAGTCAGCATGAGAATGATGCAGATCTGGCTTTTGGCATAGGAACTTCAGGCCTTCTCTGGCATTTCTCAGTTGAGTGAACTTCCTTCTCAATGGTATCTTGGGGAACATGTTGAGATGAAGTGTTCTGATCCTGCTCTAAAAGAAGTCAATTTTAGTAGCACTGGATCAGCTTAGCAAAAAACCCAAACAACTCCTTTGCTTCAGCCTCATATTAACATATGGTAATAAACCCTGCACAGAAAATTTATGTTCATTTATTGCAAGTCATTGGCGTAGTGACTTAAAAGTATTTGTGTAATCAGGGTAACATGACTCATTTATTAGCGATAATGAAGAGACACCCTGACTGCTCTCCCACAGGCTCAGCTGCTGAACTGGAAAAGAGGCAGGGGTGGATGTGGGAGGTGTAGTAACGTGGCACATTGCTAATGCCAAGTCCTCACTGGAAATGTTTTCGTGTTTTAGCCTTCTTGGCAACGCTCCCACACCTTCTCAGAACGCTGGCTGTCCTGGCACTAATCCTGCAGCTTCTGTTTTTAATACACCTGTGTCATGCAGGTTTCAAGGTGGTGCAGAAAACGACACAGGCAGTGAGAAACCAAGCACCAGTCCTTCTGCTAAGGAGGCATAAATATCTCTTCTTACCTGGAAAAACACTATGCAGATAAACACTCGGTAAGCCCCTTGACTGTGTGTGTGGAGACTGCTGTGCCTTAGCAATGACTGCTGCTGGTGAGCAGGACAGCTGTACTATGGTACAGGTGGAGAAACACCTGTGAGCTTTCTTCACTACCAAACAGCAGATACCTAACTTGCTGGAAAAGCAGGATCTCCATCAAATGAGAGCAGAATGCAGATAGGGGTGAGTCCTGAACTTGCTCGGCTTCTAAGTGAAGCTGTCTGTCCTCTGACCCATAATAGCCAAATTTTCAATTGCACTAAGTATCTTAATTCCTTCTATTTTCTGCAGAAATTAGGTGCCTAAGTATCCCTTGGATTCTGTGCTTTACTTGCTGCTGCCTGGCATGGATTTGAATTCACAACGAAGCCAAAAAGAACTTTGCATCGAGTCATCAGTTGTCCTTGCTTTACTACTTGACATCCTTGGCTACTCTGCCATCCTTGCTTCCAACTGCTTGTTACAGTTCATGACAAAATATTAGTACAGGACATGTTATGTGGGGAGTCGGGCTGGGGCATTTGGAAGACCCCGGCAATCAATTTCTCTCATAGCCAGACTGGAGCAGTACCTTCTTGCAGAATGTCAGGTCAAAAACTTAATGGTCTAGTCTGGGCAAGATTCTGTCTTTTATTCCATAAATGGCTTAATATGGCAGATGTTACCACTCTAAGGATCAACAAAAAATGGTTACCCAGTAGTGATGGATCTCTTGTTAGGAGTGTGGAAAATTGCATCCATTAATAGCTTGAGATTACCTCCTGAGGGAGACTTACTGTACAGATTTAATTGTATTTCTCTCTTAATTTATCAGCTGTTAGTAATTACATCCTGCATTTTTTTGCAATGTAAAAATGACTCTAAACTGGCTATTGAGACTGTACTTAAATAAATCATGGGAGAGAGAGGAAATTACAATGCAAATAGTATTGGTCTTGTAAACAATTTTAATTCACTACTTAGCTATTCATTAATTGAATAACATCTTCAAAAAATGCATTCTGGAAAATGTAGCAGCCACACTGAAAGCAGTGCCAGTCAGATTAGCTTAAAGTAACTCCTCGGCCATCTCCACAATGTATAATTTTAAAGGGTTCAGACAGTAAGCAGTTCAGCTTTTCAACTAACAACTGAGAGAAATGCTGACTTTCCCTCCTTGCTGGAAGACATCAGCCTTACAGTCTGTGCTTTCATATAATCTCTTGCAAGAGCAGTAGTCTTGCTCGGCTTCTATTTTGAACCATTTTCTGTTTTTAAATGACAGTTGCAGTTCCTCTTCCCTCTATTTTCGTCTTTGCACACTCCACAGTTGCCCACTAGTGGTACTGGATCCTCCGGCAGATATTCTCGTTTTCCACATCAACCTCCTGTGCTACAGCTTCAAGTTAGTCAAAACCGCTGTCTCTCCTTCTCCTTTGAAGACAATTACAAGAAAGGTATTTTGTTCTCACATACAGTGGTCTGATAATCCTGTCCCGGCAAATCAGAAGGCACTGTTTACAATAGTGCAGAAAAAGTACTTTTTCCATCATCATCCTGTTTCCTGGTAAGCGGAGGTTGTTTCAACTGCGAGAACCGGTCAGGGTGACATGAGCGAGGCTTGCTGCCCTCTCCTGGTGTCATCAGGGGCCGTGCGCTGGGTCTCACAGCTGCCTCTTAGATTGAGGTTTTTCTGCTTTTGAGACGATTAATCCTGCAGGAATGGAGGGAAGAAGCTGCTTTATAGATGGAATTGATTAATTTGAAGAGCAGGATTAGTTGGATCAATCCAACCAGACACAGTTTTTGAACTGTCACTTGCAAAGGCCACAGTGTTGGTCAGGTTCTCTGAATCTGTGGATGATCCCCTGCAATTTTCTGACTGTGACACGTGGATCGAAACTCAACTGGCTGCTCCTGCCCAGTTTTCTGGGAGTGTTAGCACTTAGCGTGCTTTTTTTTCGTGATCATGGGAAACAGCACCATGGCCCATCAGAGCATATCTGTTACAGATGAAAATTCATGGCCACGTTTTGGTGCCCATTGTGGAAATACACTTTTAGTCAGCACATCTCAGTCTTAGCATTTGATGGGAACCCATCTTCTCACCCTGGAAGGTGACTGACCACGAAGGGGACTCACCTTGTAGAAATAATTTTACTCCTGATAGCTGCTGAAGCTCAGCTTGTTGGGTCATGTGCAACAATCAAAGGCAGCAGCTCTCCACAGCGGGAATTCAGTTTTAAGGATGCAAAGTGATCTAACCTTGTGGGTCCAATATTAAGGATGGCAATTGGCAGCTGCTTCTCCCGGGCAGCGAGAGCAAACCTGTAACCAGAGTACACCTGCAGGAACACCAGAAAACAAAATTACTGGCAGCTTAGGTAAAACAAGAGCTACAGAAAGGAGCAAGGAAAGCAAAATGGTTGTTATTGGCAATGGGAAACAGGGCTGTATGTACATGGTGTGTTAGGCAACTGCACCGAATTCGGGTGGGAAATTTCTTCATTCAGGAATGCACAGAAAAGAACAGCTTTTAACCTCCTGTCAGTGAAGGATTTGCAGTTTCATAGGAACTGAAACTTCATAGTACACTGAAGGGAAATGTCCTTGTCTTTTAGTAAATCTCTGGAGCAGTTTTTATTAGTTATCATAGGTACTTAAATACTTCTACTTTGATGGTTCTCACATGGCCCAGCTTAGGTAGTACAAGAATGAACCTAAGGCATTTCAATCATTCCTGTACAAAGGATTATAAGCCTAAGAAGTGCAAGCTCAAGGAATTCATCTCCAGTATCCTAAAGCAAAGAGAATCACAATCAGGCAGCCTTGGTTTTATCTCATTCTGGGAGGCATTAGAGTAGGGTTTTTTAATGTAATAGAACTTATTCCTGGAAAATGTCTCTTCTCTGAACTGTATTCTGAGACCTTCCACAGGTTAAACAAATGGGTTTCCAAACTACCTTACCTTGTAGACAGGAGGCTAATGGAGAAAACAAATTGTGATACGAAAGATAATCCTAAGCAACAAGAAGAGATATTTCTGCTCTCTTCCTGAGAATTTAATTAGGGACTTGAGGTCCTAAAATCTGGCATTTCACACAGTGAGCTGTGAGACCTAGAAGCTGCTGAAGGCTAGGAAATTCAAGCAAGGAACTGTGGGGTGGTGATCTCTGCAGGACTGAATTCTATCGGGTACCTTGGCTTTGTGGGCAACCTACAACGTACTGCTGGACAAGGAGGCAGAGAGAGGTCTGAATGGAATTATTTACAGCACCATGAAGTAGACTGGCAATAGAGAGAGGCTGTTCTGCTCCACAAGCAATTAGTAGTCTTAAATTTCAGGGCCAAGTATTGTAGCAGAGTAGCACAGAAATAAGAACTCAGTGTGGGAGGAAGACTTGCTTACCTGCATAGAGGATCCTGCCACCAGCATGGAGTCCGATTCTGCCAGGCGTTGGTGCACAAAATCCACTTTTTCCCGGCTCACTGTGTCTCCAAAGAATGTCACGTCAGGCTTCAGAATTCCACCACATTTATGGCAGGCTGGGACCTGGAAATTACGCACCTGCTCATCTGTTAGGAAGACGTCCCCATCTGGAGCCACACCGAATGCTTCAGCTTTCCAGGTAGGATTCAGAGCTTCAAAGTGCTTCTGAAGCTCAGAGCGCAAGATTTGATCTCCACAGGCCAGGCAGAAAACTCTGAAATTCAGAGCAAAGGCTTAATCTAGAGTTTCAGGTCAGCTGACCATTTGGAGTCTGTAACTTGTTCCTTAGAAGGCCTGAAAGGTCTGTCATCATTATTCACAGTTATTTGCCAAATATTAAAGGTCAAGGAGCTGTCTTTCTACCTCTGATCATTGCTTTGTAGGAATGCTCTAGAGAAAGCACTTTGAACCCTCTCTCCCAGTTCAGGCTGTGCTTTTTAATCTGGAAATTTTGGATGATCACAGCCAGGCTGTGGTGGCCCTTCTCCAGTCTGCTCATCCTGTGCATTTCTGGCACTATCTGCTGTGCTTAGCCCTGGATAATCCTGGCATCCTCAGGGTCCCCCTGTTCTCTTCACTAAGACGACGTTTGCTCTAGCAAGGAAAGGGGAATTTCTGACTGATGCAGATTCCAAGGGAAACAGTCCAAATAATGCTTCAAAACAATGGATTGGCATTCTTGTTTCTTAAATACTGCGCTGTCAACAGCGCTGTTTTGTGGTCTCTTTCTCCAGCCCAGCCCAATGCCACCTTTGAGCACATCACGTCCAGGAACACATCATTGACTTTTTGCTTCCTTTCTCAGCAGCTGCCCCCTCACCTGCTGGTCAGTCACCCTGAACGAGAGACCAGAGGATTAACCGCCCTCCCTCTGCCCAGAGAGAGTACCTGTGCGTGCAGCCGTGCAATTCTGTCATGCGCTGGCTCCCGGCTTTGGTGTGAAGGGCATCCACATTCTGGGTCACCAGCCAGTGCAGCTTTCCCAGCTTCTCCCAGTCCCTGAGTACCAGGTGTGCTGTGTTTGGCTGGTGGGCGGAGAACTGGGGCCAGCCCACAAAGTTCCTTGCCCAGTACCGCTGCCGGGCACTGGCGCTGCGAACGAACTCAGCGTGCTGGACGGGCCGTCTGTCTGTCCTGGCATAGAGCCCGACACCTTCAGAGCGGTAATCTGGGATCCCTGATTCAGTCGAGATTCCAGCTCCAGTCATTACAAACAGCCTCTTGGAGTTAGAAACAAAGCGCTGCAGCAACTCTACTTCCCTGGGATCTGGGGGAAGACAGGCTGGCACAAACGCCAAGTTTGGAGAGGTTCTGGATACAGAATGGGATCTGAAATGATGGAATCCGATGGCTCTGCAAAGTCCAGACAACTTCCTGGCAGAGAACATGTTCACCTAAAAGCCAAGAACAGAGCACATGGCAGCTAAAACAAAGCAAAGAGTGTGTCCTTAATTCCATTTTCTTGAGATTCTCTGGAAAATTATGCTGATAAGTATTCTTTGCTCTTTTTTTCTTTTTAGTAAAGAAACACAGATTACTTTGGAAATATTAACTAAAGCCCACTGTCCAAGGACAACAGTGCTTACATCTCCCTTTAACACGAGGACTGCTCAAGGCACAAGGAAAAAGTTAGCACCCTGACTTGCAGGATTCCTGCTCTTCTATCCGAGTATGAAGGATGGCTGCCTAAGAGGACTTGTGAAGAGCCCTGAAAGAACAGAGCATGCAAAATCTTCCCAGGTATGTGCAATAGGGCAGAGAAGAAATGGCAGGAAGGCCGAGCACCTCACCCCAGAGGCACTGTCTGGCTGGTTTGCCCCCAGAACAGACCCCTGCTCGGCCTTCTTTACTGTTGTGTTTACCCCATCCTTTGCATGTGTTGTGGGGAGAGGAAAGCGACCTTGAAATGTTGCTTTTCCAGGACAAAGGCCTTGACTGGAGTTACTCCTGTTTTTTATAAAGGCCTGGTGCAGAACAGGCCTTGAAATGGAACTGAAGATGATTAGAATGCTGCCTCAGTGGCTCTGGCACCTCCTCCTTTGTGGGTGCCACCCCTCTGGAGTCAGTGGAGGGGTATTGCTTTCCTTCTCCAGCAGGAACGGGGGCTATTTGCTGGGAGAAAAGGGATCACACTTTGTGTGAGAGGGCAGAAACAACTGCCTGGCAGCAGAAATGGGAGGGATATCCTGTTTTAAGGGATGCTCTGTTGGGGAAGGCAAGATGGCTTTGCTGACAAGTAGCCTGGAACTGTGCAGGACCTGTTGTGACTGGAGTGGATCAGTTTGAACCATGATTTTCTTTGGCCTTTCTACCAGTCTGCAGTTCTCTTTCTCAATTTCACTATTTTAAAACTTTTTTTTTTTTTTCTGGGACTCTCTATGGTTTTGCATACAAAGCACAACAAGTTTGGAAAGGAATGGTCCTGAAAAGTGACACTTCAAGGACTGGGACTCACCCAGCCAGCTGGAGGAGAGGTTTGGAGGAGGGCTCTCTGCAGCTGGTTGGCTGTCAGACGGTTAAAGTGTGTGGGCAGTTTCATGAATGCCACTACAAGAAACTGGTAGTGGCCGTGAGATCTGTGGCATCTCTGAGAAAGTCAGAGGTACTCAAGCGGTGAGCACGACTGTCTAAAAGGCTGGCACCGAAGTTCATTTTTTTCACCACTGCTTCAATGCCTGGATGGTTTTTAGACTCCTGCTGCATCTAAATTGTTTTGCCTCAAGTGCCCAGTGCCCCTCAAGTACCAGATCTTTGGGTAAAGAGAGCAATATTTAAATATATTTAAAGTTTGGGTGTTTAAGTATGATGATACTAAAATGATGCTAGTGGCAAAGAAGAGATTTGCCTCAGTTAATCCCCAGTTCACAAGCCTTTGCGTCATCAGTAATTACAAGGAAGATTGGGCTTCCTCCATAATCTGAATTACGTTTTTAATCTAAGCTGTGGATTCTGTTTGCAGTGACTTCTGCCTTGTTTTGTTGTTTAGCAGTTGTGTTGGGCGTTCCCTCTGAAGAGGTTTAGTTTTCCATATGAATTAATTAGGAGGGGCAAAATCTCCCAATAAACTGTAATTTGCTTTGAGAATAGCTTCTGGCATGATACTCCCCAAAGGCTGTTAAGACCGTTTCACAGTATCTAAATTGCTTTAACCACAGAAAACTTTCCATTCCTGCCCCTTATCGTCAAAAGATCTCTCAGAAGGAAATGTCGTGACGGGGCGTGGAGATATGATAATGGGAAGGCCCAGCAGCAAAAATACCAGATACAGCTGAGAGCCGCTGTGAAGTGTACATGTAGGACAGTGTCCTTCCAAAGGACGGAATATCTCCTGTGCAATGCAAAGCTGCTTTTAAAATGAAGGTGCTCTCATTAAAAAATAACAACTACTATACATAGTAAGTGAAACTCTTTAAACGTACCTATCGAGATCCGAAGCTGGAGTTCGTTTTTACCACGCACCCAAGATGCTCCACAGGAGAGAGATCTGACAAGTTCAAGGTGGAAGACAAAACAGGTTTCTAGAGACGGTCACAGGCCAGAAATTCAGAGGGACAGCCGCGGCATTCGAGTCTGTTTTGCTGTCATAGTGACGCGGGGGCGGCCGTGGGAACTGCCGAACCGAACGCATCTAAGGAAATAAGAGTTGCATGGGGAATAAAGCCTGAAAGCTTCCCTGTCATAACGCTGCCGTGCCCGAGCGCGGAAGGAAAGGGCTGGCCTGCCGGGAGAGGGGTTTTCTGGGAAATGGAGTTCACAGAGAAATTAGGCCCGAAGCACAAAGACTACAATTCCCACGCTTCAGCGAAGGGGAAAAAAATCATCACGCAAACAGTTCCTGACACCTGATAAAATTGAAAAGGCTAAAAGCTTCGTAGCTGCCCTCAAGGAAACATAAAAGAATAAAATCAGATTTCTTTTGGTGCAAACGCGAGTAATAGCTTTGATAAAACGCATCGCAGAGGCTCGCGCTTATAAAGTCAGGCAGTTTCTTTTCACTGATACTAACAGGTTTTGTGCTTAAAATGTGACGAGTCAAATATTGGAAGAGAAAGTCCCCGAGGTGTAGGTTGGTGGAGGTGAGGAGAGGGTGCTGGGCTGATCGGTGTGTCCTGTTCCGGCCCTGCTCTAGCAGCCTGGCACTAGATGCTCACCTGTTCTGCAGACGGTGGGCGATGATTTGAAGTGCTTGTCAAAGGCTTTCTCCAAATAGGTCTTAATTAGCTCCAAACATTGCAGGAATTTTTAATCCATTTTTTCTTGCCTCTCACAGTTATTTCAAAACCTGGAGGAGCCCGAGCCTCATCATGACAGCGCGTGATTCTGCCACCCCAAGGGAGAAGCAGGTCACCCTGCTCGCTCGGTGCGGGGTGCCAGCCCTGCCCATCCCCGGGCGGGGCACGGACCCGTTTTGGCAGTCGCGTGAGTCTTGCGTGACAGTCAGGCTGTTGGTGTGGGTTTCAAAGAGTTTAAACGCGTTTTCAAATCCCTGTGGCGTGACTTCGCTTTGGTGTCACTGGGATGGCGAGAGCAGCCAACGAACCCCTTTTTTTCCGGGAAGGCGGAGAGGGCGCGGGTCGCGCTTCACCGTGCGCTGCCTCCCGCCGCGGGAAACGCCGGTTT